AAAAAAAAAAAAAAAAAAAAAAAAAAAAAAAAAGAAGTGACCTGACCATTGCTTCTGTGCAAGGCAAAAGGAGGAGCGACCATTGCTTCTGTGCAAGGCAAAAGGAGGAGAGCAAAGCTCAAAAAAGAAATAAGCATGCAAAGAAGAGAAGACACACAAGCCAACAAGAAGTATGGCATGAAGCATGTGTAACGCGTTAAAGAATAGTTCGAAGCTTTTATTTTATTAATAATAAATATTTTTAAGTAGAATTTGCTTTACTAAAAAGCTAACTATTTTATTACACTATATTAGGTAATTTATTTAAATCGCTTTACCCTTAAGCAAAGATAACTAGAAACATATTAATAGTATTTGCTTAACTAATACCACTAATATTGTTTTAAATACGTAAAAATGTAGGTAATTTATTTAGATGGCTTTACTGTTAAGCGTTTACTATAAATAGAATGTATTAGGCAAGATAAAGCAGAAAAAAAAAAAAAATGCCAACATTAGGGCAAACAAACCTGTAGCCTCTGCAAACGCAAATCAGTATTTCGGGGGGGGGGGGGTTATTGTAATTACAATAGCACCGAAAAATTTACCATAGCAATAATAAACTGAAATATCTATTATATATGTTATATAACATTTATTTGGTTTTAAATTATAAGATATATAAATCTTTGTACCTCTTCGAAAAAAGCCATTTAAACCGAAAAGAGTAGTTAAAGAATAAAAGATTCGAACTTTTATTTTACTTAATAAGAATTATTATGTAAATTTTGCTTTACCTCCTTAAGCTAATTATTTTTATACCTATCTTCAGTCCAATTTATAAGTATATCCGTAAATATTTATACCCCCTTTTTAAATATTTACGGATATACTTATAAATTGGACTGAAGAGAAGATATATTATCCACCCAAAAAATATTCTAATCAGTCACTCAGGCTTATTCACGAATTATTATCCGCCGCACTAGTACTTTCTTCCAACTCAGCTAACTCTCTTTCTAAATCACCTCCTTTCTTTTCCGATTCAAGCATATCTTTGTAAGCTTTTCTTTCCGTAACTTTATCCTCTATATCTTGAGCCTTAGAGTGCTTATCGTTGTGGACTTCTCGGATTTTCTTTTCTTTTTCTATATCTTGTATTAGTTGTTCACGGCGGTCACTAGAGCTAGGTTGAGTAAAAACAATGCTGGTGTCAATAGCTAGTGGAGGTAATAAATGTCGCAAAACCCCCGAAACATAAAGCTGTAAAAATGCGATCATTCTAGCAAACAAACCTGTGGTCCCTGCAAAAGCAAATCCTAATATTGCATATGAAAATAGCTGACCTCTTAGCGAGGGATTTCTAGCTACACCTAGAATTAAGGCTCCGAAAACTACACCTATACCAACACCTGCACCAATTAAACCGGTTGTAGCTAAACCTGTACCAATTATTTTTGCTGCTTGTATCATCTTTAATTTTTTAACTGTTATTAATCCAAACTGAATCGAGTCTTTTTAAATTGCAACTATATATAAGTGTATATCTACCTGCCCGCATGCCTCTACGAAGTAGGCCTCCCTCTACTTCGTAGAGGGATGAGGCAACGGTTTGGTATTTTATTAATATAAGCATAAATATAGCACTATTTTAAGATAGAATATTTTAGAAGACAGAAGGGAGGTACCACTTATACTAGGCATTTATTGTTATTGCCGGTTACTCTTGCCTTGCTGCCAAGTAGAGGTAACCATTGTTATAAGGCTAAAACTATTACAATTCCATAAATTACCTTCGTTTATGTAATTATTAGAATATACTGCTCTTATTCAAGACTTGAACTTGAATCTAAATATTAGACTGCAAAAGCAAATCCTAATATTGCATATGAAAATAGCTGACCTCTTAGCGAGGGATTTCTAGCTACACCTAGAATTAAGGCTCCGAAAACTACACCTATACCAACACCTGCACCAATTAAACCGGTTGTAGCTAAACCTGTACCAATTATTTTTGCTGCTTGTATCATCTTTAATTTTTTAACTGTTATTAATCCAAACTGAATCGAGTCTTTTTAAATTGCAACTATATATAAGTGTATATCTACCTGCCCGCATGCCTCTACGAAGTAGGCCTCCCTCTACTTCGTAGAGGGATGAGGCAACGGTTTGGTATTTTATTAATATAAGCATAAATATAGCACTATTTTAAGATAGAATATTTTAGAAGACAGAAGGGAGGTACCACTTATACTAGGCATTTATTGTTATTGCCGGTTACTCTTGCCTTGCTGCCAAGTAGAGGTAACCATTGTTATAAGGCTAAAACTATTACAATTCCATAAATTACCTTCGTTTATGTAATTATTAGAATATACTGCTCTTATTCAAGACTTGAACTTGAATCTAAATATTAGAAGTATTCGGCTCTACCATTAAGCTAATAAGAGTTTAATATTAAATTTTTAAAAGCATAAAAGAAATTAAAAGTTTAATATCTTAAATTTTTAAAACCATAAAAGAAATTAAAAGTTTATATTAATACATTAAAAATTTCGGGGTTTTTTTTGCAATGAATGAAACCCAAATAATAAATCCCCCCTTGCATGTTTCGGACGAAGTACAGCACAGAAGGTCGCTCCTTATAAATAATAGGTCCCATATAAAATTAAACTTCTAAAATAGACACCTATTCCTTGACCGCCTAGCCTTTTAAATACATTTGTATTTATTTGGTTAAATATCCTTTTCATGAGATGATTAATTATCCTAATAAACATTAATATAAAAAAACTTTTTTTTATAGCTCTTCCTTGACAACACTAAAGCAAACTAATATTAGATGGTATTATTTCAAAACCAAATAATATACATGGTATTAATACCACAAAAGCTATAACAATAGGTAATAATATTGTTCAACAGAAAGACATTAATTGATCAAAACGTATACGAGGGAATGAAACTCTAGCTCAAATGAACACAAATATCATAAAACATGATTTCACACCTAAAGCTAAACCATATAATAGTCCTTCTATTAATCTATCGTCAAATAAGCTTTCATTGTGCAAATTATCTATATAATAATCGAAATCAAAATATTGCATTAAGAAAAATATAGATATATAATTATATAAATAACCTCCTAAAAATAATATACTAGTTAATATACAAATCAATACAATACTAGCATATTCAGCCAAAAAGAAAAGTACAAAAATTACTGCCGCGTGTTCAGTCATAAATCCACTAACAAGTTCTGATTCCAAAAAAAAATGAAAAAAATAAAAAAAAATGTATTAATTATTAAGATTTACTTTAAAATAATACATTTTATTATAAACTAAAACTTTAAATATTTACCCACAGTTACTTTAGATATTTTAAATTGATCCGCTAGATCAACTGCGTAATAAAAACTCTTTATCTAATTATTATTTAAGTCGTATGTACCTACACCATTACTGTATTTTTTCATGCTATTTCTTATAAGTTGTTTAGTTTCTTTTGTGTGTGTTTTTATATGAAATAACACATGGGATTTAATGAGCCAGGTTTACTTATTAGAAACTTAGCATTATCGTCATGATGTATACCAAAAAAAGAATGATTTGCTTTATTAATATATCTATTAGAGAATTTTTGCTTAGCTAATTCAGTGTGCTTGTATCCTGTTAAGCTCGTAGCGCTATACATAAAATTATACAAGGGGGGGAGATTTATCCGCTCCGCTCAAATTTTCTAATATAGGTAGTTTCTAAATCTGTTAATAGTTTACTACTTATTAACTTATTTTCTGTGCTGGTGAAACATGCAGGGGAGTGTCTTCTTTCAGCTGTACTTCGTCCGAAACATGCAGAAGTATGACATCCACAATTTCTTAGAAGTAAGGAAGTAGGGGACTGGGCTGGGTACCCTCCTCCTTTTGCCTTGCACAGAAGCAATGGTCGCTCCTCCTTTTGCCTTGCACAGAAGCAATGGTCAGGTCACTTCTTTTT